AAACTATAAGACTCCTAAAAGATAGCATTTAGGAGTTAAATATAGATAAATCTAGATGACCTTGGGTTTGGCCATCACCTTTGAGATACAACACCAAAGGCATGATCTGTGAAATAAATAGAGAATTTGGACTTAATCATGTTAAAAACTTTTGCTCTGTGGAAGACACTGTCAAGACAATGAGAAGCCACAGACTTGGAGAAAATATTTGCAAAACTATATCTGATAAAGGATTATCTATGAACTTTTAAAACTCAACAAGTAAACAACCTGATTGAAAAATGGGCAACAGATCTGAATAGATACCTCATGAAAGAAGACATACAGATGGTAAATAAGCATATGAAAAGATGTTCAACATTCTACCTTAGGGAACTGCAAATTAAAACAGAGATACCATTATAACTTATTAAAATGGTGAAAATCCAAACACTGATGACATCAAATACTGACAAGGATGGGAAACAACAGGAACTCATTCATTGCTGGTGAGAATGCAAAACAGTACAGCCACTGTGGAAGACAGGGTGGCAGTTTCTTACAAAACTAAACCTAAACAAAAAGAAACTAAACCTAATCTTACCATATGAACCAGTAATCACACTCCTTGGCATTTACCCAAATGAACTGAAAAATTGTATCCACACAGAACTCAACATATGGATGTTTATAGTTTTGTTAATTGCCAAAAGTTGGGAGCATCCAAAATGCCCTTCAAGGTGAATGGATAAACAGTGATATATCCAGACAATGGAATATGATTAAGTGCTAAAAAGGAGTTATCAAGCCATGGAAAGAAAAGAAGGAAGCTTAAATGCTTATTACTAAGTTAAAGAAGCCAATCTTTCCAACTTTCTAATATTCTGGAAAGGGTAAAACAATAGTGATAGTTAAAAAATCCAGTGGTTGTTGCCAGGGGTTAGAGAGGAGGAAGGGCTGAAGAACAGGAACATAGAGCATATGTAGGGCGGTGAACTACTCTGTATGATACTAAAATGGTGGATATATACCATTATACATTTGTCAAAATCCACAGAATGTACAACAAAGAGTGAACCCTAATGTAACTATGGGCTTTGTGTAATGATGGTATGTTAATGTAACAAATGTACCACTCGAGTGGGATATTGATAGTAGGTGGGGCTGTATGTGGGGGTGCAGGGGCTATCTTTACTGCCTGCTCAATTTTTCTGTGACCCTAAAACTGCTGTAAAAAATAAAGTCTTTTTTAAAAATTCAACTATATGCTACCTACAAGAGAGGTACTTTAAATATAAAGGTTGCAAGCAAGAGGGTTAGAACGGATACACCAAGCAAATAGGAAGCATAAAAAATCCTGCTGACATTCA